AGGCAGAGACCCACCGGTGTGAGGCAGAGACCGACCCGTGTAAGGCAGAGACCCACTGCTGTGAGGCAGAGACCGACCCGTGTAAGGCAGAGACCGACCCGTGTAAGGCAGAGACCCACTGGCATGAGGCAGAGACAGATCCGTGTAAGGCAGAGACCCACTGGTGTAAGGCAGAGACCCACTGGCCATAGGGAGGCAGAGGCTGACCAGCTACTTGACTCACTTCAAGCAAAAAAATCACCTGACAAACACAACCCATGAATGATGCAAGGATGGAGGGGCAGGTACTTGGTCACCAGGGAGTGACACATGCATGTACACACACACACACACACACAGACACAGACACAGACACAGACACACACACACACACACATGCACACAGACACACACAGACACATGCACACAGACACACACAGACACACACACAAACACATGCACACACACATACACAGACACATGCACACACATAGATACACAGACACATGCATACACAGACACACACACAGACACATGCACGCACATAGACATATACAGATCATGCACACACATAGACACACAGACACATACATAGACACATGTACACACATAGACATACACAGACACACACCAACATATGCACATACAGATACACACACATAGACACAGACACACACAGACACACATACATAGACACACAGACACACAGACACACACACGGACACACAGGCACATGCATACACACATAGACACACATAAATACACATACATGCACACACAGATATACATAAAGACACATACACACATAGAAATGTTACACACAGAGACATAGATATGCAAACACACACACACAGAACACATCACACACAGACACACACAGACACATGCACACCCAGACACGTTACACACACATGCACACATGCACACACATATACATGCACACATAAACATGTTACACACACAGACACACACATGCACAGATGTTACACACATGCATACAGATGCACATATAGACACACACACATAAGCACACAAATACATGTACAGACACACATACAGACACATGCACATGTAGATATTCACACAGACATGTTGCACACACACACAGACACATGCACATACAGAAACATGCACACAGACATGCACACATATGTGCACACACAGACACACACATAGACACACAAACACATGCACACACAGGCATACAGAGACACATGCACACACAGACATGCATACAGACACGTTACACAGATACACAAATGCACATAACACACGCAGACACATGAACACATAGAGACACATGCACACACAGACACATGAACAATCATAGACACATTATACTTGCACACATAGACACACACAGACATGCACAAATAGACATGCACATGCAGATAAATGAACCCACACACACAGACATGCACACATAGACACGTTACACACACCACAGACAGATCCATGCAGACACACCACACCCATGCACACAGACACATGGACACTTGAACACAGATGCACATAAACATACACACACTGATACATGGAGCTGCATGCACACTAAGACACATACACACTTGCAACACAGACTCATGCACACACAGACACAGGCAGACATGCAGTGACGCAGTGTGCACCACATATGCAGACGCACGCACACCACACCGATAAGTATTCCTACATGTCTGTATGTCTAAGAGTTTTAAGAATATTATGTTGGCTGGGAACAGTGGCTCATACCTGTAATCCCAGCACTTTGAAAGGCCAAGGTGGGCGGATCACCTGAGGTCAGGAGTTCAACATGGTGAAACCCTGTACAAAAAATACAAACAATTAACTGGGTGTGATGACGTGCGCTGGTAATCCCAGCTACTTGTGAGGCCGAGGCATGAGAATCACTTGAACCTGGGAGGCAGAGGTTGCAGTGAACTGAGATCGTGCCACTGCACTCCCGCCTGAGCAAGACTGTCTCAAAAAACAAAAAAACGAATTTTCTGTTCCAGTATAATTCTAACTGCTAATTCTGTTTAAACATGTAGGTAAAATGATTATAATTGGTACATTTGTATGCAGATGCACTGCTAAAACCGTTTTTGTCTCTGAAGTAGTTATTCACATCAGTGTTTCTGCTGTGGAGCCGCAGAGAGACGCTTGGGGCCAGCCCACGGAGCAGCATTTCCAGAGCTGCGGCAGTGGGTGGGCGGATAACGATTCGGGCTCTGGGCCTTGCGTTCAGAGGAAGCGAAATCCAGGGAGGAGGGTGTGAGCCTCCGCTCTTCTCCCGTGCTTCCTGCTGCCTTCCGAGCCCCTCCTCTGCTGGCCTCGTAGACACTGGGACTCCAATGCCTCTCCCACACGCTCCTTCCTCCACGAACACGAGCTTCTTGAGGTCCTAAAAATTCCCAAGACCACATGTTTGCGAGCTGCTGTGCCAAACTCCCAGAGCCTGCCCCACTGGTGGGCCCAGGACACTGGCTGGGACCAGACGACCTCTCCTACTAAGATACCATCTCACCTGAAACTCCGACCAAGAAACAGGACTCTTTAGAGGTGCAAGGCTGACACCGCCAGAGAAAACTACCCTCACGGTTTCCTGCAGGGATCCACCTGCACCTCCTGCCCAGGGGCTCCAGGGTGGACACAGGACCACTGAAGCCCAGAGGGTGTCCTGGGCTGGCCTGAGCCCCAGCTCTAAGACTGTGCTGGGGGTTACTGCTAAGCTTCAGCGGAGAGCCCCCAGCCTGTCTCCAGAGGAGGGCTCAAGGCTGTTACCACCACCCCATAAAAGAGCAGCTGAGGCTGGCATGGCCCCTGCACTCCCGGGAACCATGACCATGCTGGGGGTTACTGCTAAGCTTCAGTGGGGAGTCCCCAGCCTGTCCCCAGAGGTGGGGCTCAAGGCTATTACCACCGCCCCATAGAGGAGCAGCTGAGGTTGGCACAGCCCCTGCAGCCTTGGAGCGCCATGTCCTCACAGGCACTAGGCTGCAAAGCTCAACATCCTGAGCAGAAAGTGAGCAACAGCCAAGGCAAATTTCCCAGATACTGTAATTAAAGTTTTACTTGTTCATAATTATGATTTTTAGTTGGTAATTTCTTTTTCAGATCAATTTTATTAAACAAGCAATTATTCACTCCCACACCTTCTTTAACTGAAGGTAATGTGCCTAATTTAACCTTCCGTGAGGAGCTGCTGGCTCACTTGTGAAGCATTGCGCAGTAGCATCTGCCAGGCAGGCCTGGGTCAGGGAGCAGCACGGCCTGTCCCTGGGAGCGGCCTGGAGCTTGGTTCTGGAGCATCCTGGAGCCTGGTTCTGGAGCTGCCTGGAGCCTGGTTCTGGAAGGGCCTGGAGCCTGGTTCTGGAGCATCCTGGAGCCTGG